TGGAAATGCACTTCCAGTTTTGCCGCTGGTAGTTCCAGGCTTGGCGATTGGCCACTGGGGGACACCCCTCCCCCTGTTGATGATTTGGTGCCTGTCCCCCCCCAGACTCAGGAGGCACCAGTCACCCATTCACACACCCCACAGCCCCCCACATCCCTTCATAGCCACCCTTGTATGGGTGACAAGAATGAGGCACTTTTAAAAAACCAAATAACCCTTGAAGAGATGTAACTGTAGGCTACAGAGGAAAGTGTTAATGAACTGAAGCTAAACTACTTCTGCAAACTCCTGAAGGAGCTTATGAATTTTGTTGATCCTTGGAGATTAGGTGGCTGTTACCCTGCCCTATTTCAGCTACCCAACAGGTACTAAACTGGCACTCTCTGAACAGCTTCTGCCTTTGAGAGAGGATTGAGACACTTGCATAACTCGCACACCTCTCCTCGGTGATCCAAAAGGGTCATAGTGCTGCTGATATTTTAACACGGAGCTTCTACAAAAGTGACTTCTGTGACGTATCTTGCATATCGGGGAGTAGGAGTGGCTAGAGGCAGTGGGATAGCCCAGTGCTTGGCAGGGGTGTCACCTCACCTTTCATTCTGGTAGAAGGCTTTTAACAGATGCCAGTACAGAATCTCTTCAGAACAAATCACTGAGAGGCCAGGGCAGCTTGAGGAGAGTGTGGCCATACCTCCTCCTTTCTGTAACTACCACAGGCAAGGGGGGGAACAGCCCCAGAGCTGCTCCTGCCCTATTCCAGCCACAGCAGAGAGCAGCTGTGCAGGTAGCCAGGCTCAGCTGGAGACAACAGTGGTGGTATACAGGTTTCCCCTTCCAGGGCCTACTCCCAGCCTGTGGGAGACATGAGGGTTGGGGAGGCAGGCAGGGGGCAGGTACTGGAAGGAGGGACCAGCATGCTGTCACCGCTGTCTCTAGCTGAGCCCAGCACCCTGCACAGCCACTCCCCACACCCCCAGCTGGAGTGGAGCAGAAGTTGCTCAGGTCAGCTAGGGGAAGCAACAGTAGGCAGGTCCACTTCCCTTTGTGTACCCACTCCCTGCCCAGCTCCCTAGCATTCCCACAGACCTGGGGGCTGCAGCCACATCCTGCTCCCATTCCCACCCCCACCCCAAAGTCAGAAGGGCAGTATGCCATGTACTCCCTTGGGAGATCCTGGATCCACCCATACTGAGAAGTATGGGATTGGATTTCCAACCAATTACTTAACTGCTGAAACCTAGTCACATTGCCCTTTGGGTGCATGCACATCAATCATCCATTTGGAAATGTGTCATTTGCACACATGCACCGCCTTTCATCAGTCTATTTTACCTGGGGATAAAGTGAACAGTACATCAGTGACTTGACAAAACACAGTAATCCATTGCCAACACCTAAGACAGACCAGTAGACTCTTGATTCCTAGTCTGGGGCACTCTCTTTCAAAATGCTCAGCTAATGTGAGGGATCACCCAAAGGTTCTGGCTCTAATTGAAGATGCAATGAGACCTGGAAATTTTATCAAATACAGTTTTTGCAATGCCTAGATCAGTAGGGAGTTGAATTCTCTTCTAAGCTCCGGGTATAGACTTGTGAACAATACACCATGGAGAAAAAGAGGGAGGGGCTCTACTGTATTGCAGTAATTGCTCATGTGCATGTTCTTAACCTTCTTCATAGGTCCATACACTCTTTTTCAGTTTTGTAACAACCTGCTCCCTACCCACTGCAGCCCCCTACTTGAAGGCTTCATCCTGCCCAACATGTAGATTAAAAGTACCCTGGAGCAAGGACTGCTTTTATTACTAAGACCTAGTCTGTCTGTAAATAGAAGGCAGGGTAGATTTGCACTTTATAGGCTAAAATATATATGGTGGGGGGGCGCATCTACACATCGTCATACAGCAATGTTGTTATGGTGCCGTGCTTTAGTACTTCTGTTTGGAAGTATTAAAGTATGGCACAGTACGCGTGGTTACTGCACCACGCGCACAGTACATTGCCATAGCGGTGCCCTATACTGGGGGTTACTGCACAGTAGCGTCCCTGAATGGCTTTTTGGTGATGCTGACTGCACAGTAGCTCATTACTACTGCACAGTAGCATCACATCACGCTTTGTGCCAGTCAACACTACTGTGCAGTAGTAACAAGCTACTGCCCGGGCAGCATCTTGTGTAGACATGGTCACACATATATTATATATTGACATCCATTTAGAATCACATTGTGTGTGTGTGTATGATTTTAATAGATATATAATAACTATATATAGTTATCTATATCTGTCTATAATTATACTTCCATAAAATCTGTTTCAATGACAGGTGTGATTCTTTCAGTCCTGTGGTGCATACAGATCCAGCATTCTATCTGGCCTGCAGGGCTCCCCACAGGTCTGGAAATTTGGCAGCAGGGAACTGGCAATTGGTGTTACTGTTCCCCTGCCACCAAGTTTTTGGATCTCCCTTGGGGACTCCTTCAGGCCAGATGACATGGCTCTGCAAGCTGGATCTGTCCTGCAGGCTAAGGGGTTCAGCACCCCTGTTTTAGCCAGATAGATACACCAGTTTGAACCATTGTGTGTATATTATTTTATTACTAGTATATTCTTTTTTGCGGCCATAGCTCACTTGTGTGTCTCAGAACTAACGACAGCTACACAAGACCACTTACATCACTACAACTTTTATAATACCATAACCTGGGAGTTTGTATTCTATTAACTATTCCTACTGTTCTTAAAGCTAAAAACATGCGTGTCTGTGTGGGTGTGTCTCTGCGTGTGTGGACAAGCCTTAGTTGTCTAGTGCCAAGCACTGAGGGACCTTGTTTTTTTTGGCAGGTTCTGGGAGCTACCATAATAATAAAATAAAAATAAAATAATAATACCACAACTCTTAAGTGGGAAATGAAGATGTGTGTTCCCACAGGATCGATCCCAGGACATGAGCCACACAGAAGGTACAGTTGACACCCAGAGTTTCTTAATGGTTGCTCTGTGGATCAGTTTACAAGGCAGCATGCATATTATCTGAGGCTATCAATCAGTCTAGTACATAACTTATCCTGTAGCAATGCAGTAGGTGATAGGTACACTTTCATTAAGTCAGTAGGTTACCATGACCTACTTGCATGGAGAAACAAGTTTCTGCTAATTTGTTTTGTGACAACTGAATAATTTATTGCTGGGTGTTTGCAACACAACTTGTTGAGAAAGGATTATTCACCTGAACATCACTCCAGAAGAGACCTCAAGTCCTGGAATTGCTGGTATCTAGTATTATAGGTACTGAACGGGGGTTGTGGGGAGGGAGCTATATTTTGCTCAGGGCTCTAGCGTGAATGGAAGACAGGAAAATACACTGAGCAGAAGTGTTTGTGAAGTGCCTGGCAAAATGAGAGTTTGGATGCAGAACTGGTACTCATAAGTGTTACTGCAACTACAAGTAGTAACACAAAGAAGCTTTTTATCCATGTATGGCCTAACTACTAAAAGGTTTGCTACTTCCAATTATAACTATATATGACCCTTTAGCCCTAGAATTAGGAGCCTAGGCTTTCAGCTCTCGGGGTCTAGCTCTACACAGGATGCAGCAGGGGCACCATTGCAAATGGAAGATAAACAAATTATGCATTTGGCCTACATGCTACAAGTTCCAGATGTAAAATGTTTGCAAGATTAGCCCTTTCTGTTTTGAACCAAGGAGATGTGAAGTTCAAATTAAGCCCCGGTCAATGCTAAGCAACTACTAATAGGAAGAAGAAAGGAGAAAGATGAACATGGTATCAGGATCAAAGTTTGTTCCATTTAAACAAGCGTTCAAACATTCAGAGACATGCCTAAAGGTCAGTTGACTTAAGCCAAGTTGCCGGACTCTGCTTTCCAGTAGCCTCTGCAGCAACAGTGGCTCCCTCCAGCATCTCTGCCGCTACCAGACCTGGGTCCGCTGCCCAGGCACCCTGGCCTATCTCTGCTGGAGGTGCCAGACAAAGCAGGCAGGCAGGATCTCCATGGAGACTAGATCAGGGCCCCCAAGGGCAGGCCAGTCTTGGCTGGGTGGATGGGATGGGGTCACAGGAGGGCGGGAAGTAGCGTCCAAGAGTAGGACAGGCAGGCAGGGCTGGTGCTGGGGCCGGGATCGCAGGGTGGTGACAGTGCAGGGTTGGAGCCCAGGGCAGAGCTGTGATCCTCTCCTCACACATCCCTGCAATGTGCTCTGGTTCCAGGAACATGTGTGGAAAAGATCACAGCTTTTCCCTGGACCCCATCCCCAGTATCACTGCCCTGCCATCCCGGCCCTGACCCTAGCTCTAGCCCTGCCAACCCTGCTTCCAGGTGCCATTCCCCTATCATTCACTGCCCCATCCCATCTGCCTGGTGGAGTGTGCTCCACCTGCAGGGGTCCCAGACCAGTCTCCATGGACCCACCTGCTCCATCCAGCATCCCTGGAGGTGGGTGCAGGGCAGACAGGCCTGGGGCCATATAGGATCAACTGGTATCTCCCTGGCCACTGTGGCGTAAACAGCCATGGTGGGGAGGGGGGCAAGGCCTGGTCAGCACCCCCCATACCCAACCCTCAACAGCTCATGAAAATTCCTAAAGTGGCCCTCCAGCTAGTTGGCCATGGCTAGACTAAAAGGTTCAGCTCAACAACAGATGCAGGAAACGCAGCTCTGCTGATTATGTAGGTCAGTATCCTATTAATTTGGATGTAGCAAGTAGTTTGACATTGGCTTTGCACTACCTTTTCCTAGGTAGAAGAGATTGCACAAGTTGAAAGGCACATTTCTACTGTGGAAACTTTGACACATTCTCTTCAGTCTTCCCTACAGAACACTGAGAGACATAAAAATAATGATACTTGGCTCCTGGCACTTTTTAGCTTCAAAGCATTTTTTGCAAACAATTAATTAATTAATCAAGAGAGAACACAGGCGCAAAGAACCAAAACAAAGAATTGATTGATAGCTCTTTATCAGAAACAAAGCCAGGGGGAGGGGGGAGAAGGAAAAAAAATACCTTCCTCCTTTTTTATTTTTATTTTTGGTTAAACTCAAATTCAAGTCCCAACAGGTGCTGGTTTTAACGCAACCTGAAAGACACAAAGGAATGGGGTGTATATTTTACAGAGTGCCTGCAAATTACATACAACCCAGGTTCGCCCTTCCCTTTCACCTTCTGTAGTTCTTTCCCTGCATCTTTTCTCAATAAAGCACCTAAATCCCAATTCCCTGCAGCCTTTGGGGGGAGTTCTATTAACATAATGAGAATTATAACTGGGAAGAAACCAGCACACACCACTTTTGATGGCCTTTTTAACTTGACGTGTGTTGTGTTGAGTGATGTTGATCTTTAGAAAGGATTCCAGCTGCCAGAAGAATCAAAGGGAGTTCTGACAGTGATTTGAATGGGAGCTTTTAGCTCTTGGTCCAAAATAGACAGGATTTTTGCCTTTTCTTTTTCAGAAATGCCACTAGTAATGAAATTCTGGAGTAACTGAAGATAGAATCCTGGGACAGCAGTGCTAGTTACCAGACCTGCTGCACTACTGGCCCCTCTGAACTATGTTAAACTAAATACACTGAACTCAATTCATCTTTCATTGTTTCTGTCCCTGTACCTATGTCAGAAGCAAGACAGTCTGAGCCTCTCCTATCCATGGACTGCAAAGCTTGATGCAGCCCCCCCCCACCACCAACACAGGCCAAGGTAGTGCTGATGGTTGTCTTAAACTCCCTCCTTCTTGCAATGGCTCCTAAGGTACATTGCAGGGTGCAGAACAGCTGGGGATCGGCATATACCATCACCTCCTTGCCCCAAAATGCCTCCTTCCTCCAACCTAACTTCAGTCCACCTCCATTTTACCTTGCCTTGCACCCCAGGACAACCCCTGTACCCAGTACTGCTGCAGAAGCATCAGAGCCTACTCTCTCTCAGGCATAACAGCCTGCTATCATGAGTTTTGTCTGTCAGCAGCCAGAGGTGCACGGCCCCAGAACCCAGAACCCCTGCACCGATCTCCTTGAAAGCTGGCGGGCTTTGTGGCTGGAGCAGGGGCTATCAGGCCTGCAGCTTTCACCCTGCTGCACCTTAACACACACAGTGTCACCCATGTCACGAGTTCTGCTTGTCCGCAGCTTGAGGTGCAGTTTTCCCCCAAACCCCTGCACTTATCTCTTTGAAACTTGGCAGGCTTTGTGGCCTCAGCAAGGGCCACTGCCCCTGCAGTTTCAGCCCACTGTGCCTTAACACACACAGGATCATCTGTGTCACGAGTTTTGCCTGTCAGCAGCTTGAGGTGCAGTTCCCCCCAAACACCTGCACCTATACCTATGAAACTTAGCAGGCTTTGTGGCCTCAGCAGGGGCTAGCATGCCTGCAGTTTTGACCCCACTGCGGCTTAACATACACACGTGACATGAGTTTTTATTTCAAGAATTTGGGGTGCAGTTCCGCCCAAACCCCTGTACCTATCTTCTTGAAGTTTGGCAGGCTTCATGATCTTAGCAGAGGCTACCATCCCTGAAAATTTCATCCAAATCAGGTAAAAAACAACAAAGTTATCGGTATTTCATTGATTCCCCATCATACCCTATGGCCGGATCTCCGATGCAGCTCCGAAGCTTTTCAGAGCTTCTGAACCACTTCAGAAAGACTAAAGAGGCAAGTGCTTCGACCTGGACATGCTGCTTTGGTGTCCAAAGCATCCGAATCTTCTCCGGATCCAAAGCACAGTCCGAAGCCTTGCACAGCCCTATAATCCATGCCTTCATTAAATTATCCCTAAGATTTAGCACAGCCATGGTCTTCTTTGAATAGTATATGGTCTGCATAATAGCTCTTCAAAGTTTGTTTTGGGGATGTGCCAAATTTATATTTCTCTCATTTCCTTCTGTATTTGTATCCATATATCTGTTTACTGCTAGCCAAGTCATTTCATTAGCAAATCATTCCATCTATTTATTTAGCAATACATCAGTGTTGCTGTCACTATAATTACCTCTGTCTGCATGGATTGCTATTATTTATGTCTTATTAGCAATACCCCCATCTACCAACCACATTCTTTCCATAATTGTGTGTTACTGCTATCCACAGGTTTCCTCTGGTTGAAAGAGTGGCAGGTCTCTTGGGAACGAGAAAAGCATTCTTGAAAACAAAACCTGATTCTCTAAATTATTATTTGCCAATTATTTTATTGTCAAACTCTAGCGGAGTAGTGAGCACTGTACAAGACTCAAAAATGAAGATCAACTCTGATCTCAAGACCCTGATTTTGAAACTAAAGGCCATATTCTAATATCATTGCTGAAATACTGTGTCTTCCACCATAGGGACTGTCCCACTGGAGTCAGTGGAACAATTTGCTGCATTATGCACTATTTTCAATGTAATCATAGACACTCGATTCCAGCCCAAAAAGAACAGTGCAGAATACATACACTACAAATCTTGGAGAAAGGAATAACTTGGCATAATATACTATTCTTTCCCATCTCTTTTTGCGATTTGTTTCGTTGGTTGGTTTTTGGTTTTATTTTGTTTTTGTTTGAATGTATCAAGGATTTTTTTTCCCCCATGCTTGCATAATATTACAGTGACTCTTTAGGAGAAAGAGATGAAAGTCAGGAGATGACTTTGTTAATCACAGTCTCAGATGATCCATCCATCCACTTTTACTATTAGATTTTTCTATAGAAAAATTACCACAAAACTGGGTGTTATAATGTTATGACCTATTTTATCTTCACATCTTTCTAAGGCAAGTGCATCTTGACACCTAATTTGTGCAAATCTGTCCAACAGACTGAGCTAGATTGAAGGAGATCCAATTCATTGTTGTTCTGGGTGCTATGCGGCCTATTAGGCATCTAAATGGTTTTAGGTGCCTGAGATTCTACTCCACTCAGCTTGAATCCCTGAAAAACTATTAATATGGAAAGGTGGCTGGGCCCTTTTCCTCCCTCCTGTTTGGTGAAGCTCAGTCTTAAGGGTCGGATGATAGGGTTTTACAAAAGATGCATTAATGGATTTTCAGAAACTTGAACAGGGTGGAATAGAATTGAAGTTGGGCACCTAAGTCCACTTAAATGGCCCATATGCGGAAGGGAATCTGGCCTTTCATGAGTAATATGTTCAACCAGATAGGCTGGACATTAATCATATTCACTTTGCAGTGGAGTAAGCAACAATAAATAGCTGATGGCAATGGAGAATTAGGACCAAGCTTATCAATATAGGACTTTTTAATTTGACAGATCTTCAGCTCTGTCCTGCTTCAGCATAAAGGCAGCTGCTTCTAGCAGTCATTTCATTCCCTTTGACCCCTCTCTACTCTCTCCATGTTTCCTCATGGAATATTTTCACTGTCTCCTTCCTTTTTTCACTTCCCCTAAAACAGAAATCAAGCCCACTGTCTGACTTAATTCAACTGTTAAAAGCCCATATGGGAAGCGAGGGGGCCAGAATTAGACACTGCAAGCTTACTTGTTGCTATTAATGAAGTGCTATTTATCTAATCACCTTGCAGGCTCATTTCTCAGTTGCCTCTGTCAGTCTCTTTTCTTCAAATACTTCCACACTGTAAGTGTATTAGGAAGTATAATCATGATACCAAGGAGAGAAGTATTTCATAGCCCACTGGTTCATGCTTCAGAGACTGCAATTCTCAGTTGTTGTGCTGAAGAGTTGAATAAGCCTAGTGTCAGGTGACAGCAAAATCCAGCAACTCTTTCAGACCTCTGGGAAATGCATCTTTTTTGCAGATGTATTTCACAGCATCAGTCATGAATGGCTGATTTGTGTATGTGTTCCTGGGCAGGAGAGTGTTGGAAAGGGAGGAAATTATGCATTAGGTAAATGGCCTATTGCCATTTACAGGGTTTGTTCAGTTAAGTTTTCCTTGGAGAAGGCCAGACCCAGGACTGTGTTGTCTAACTGGTGCTATACCCTAATCTTTCCCTGTCAGGGACCAGCTCTAATCTGCCAGCCAAACACTCTCCATGAGCACCATTATGGCAGCTTAATTTGCGGTCAAGTACTCAAGATAGCTTAACTGTTCCAGCAAAGTGTCCCAATATGGAATCAGACTCACTGGGCACATCTACATGTGCGATTAATGTAATGTGATAAACTGATGCTGATGTTCATCTTTCCCCTTAAATTAATTAACTCTGCAGTAAGATGGTACTGCCAGGGACAATACTATTTTGTGGTAGAGTCATTTACTGTGCTGCAGTGCACGTGTGGATGGCGACCAGGACAGCAACACTTTGAGCTGAAGCAGAGCAGTCTTGAGCTGGTAGCAGGCTTGGGGCGGGGAGGGGGGTGGGGGTCAGCCCTGGACAGCAGCAGTGGAGGGGCTGGCCAGGGCATGAGAGTGCCAAAACTGCAGAGCTGTGAGACTCCCCCACAAGAGCCTACTGCCAGCCTGGGGCTGCTCTGCCCCAGCTCAAAGTGCTGCTATCCCAGTCACTGTCCACATCTGCATTGCAGCATAGTAAATGACTCCACCATAAGATAGCACTGTCCCCAACAGTACTGTCTTACCATGGAGTTAATTTACAATGCCCCAATACCAGCACACATATAAACAGTAATGCTTTACTGCAGAGCCAATTAGTCAATTCTGCAGTAAAGTGCATGTGCAGATGCACCCACCACATCTGAGCCCTGCCTGTTACTTCCAGCAAGAGAGTTAACTTGAAATGCTCCTAGATTGGAATTTCCTATGCACTGGGTGTGTCTACATGTTGCCCTATGGTGACATTGTTATTGCACCATGTTTTAGTACTTCCTTTAGGAAGTGCTACAGCACAGTGCAGTAACTGCCCATACTGCACTGTACACGCAGCACATGGTTATTTTTAACAGCTACTTCACTGTAGCAGTATGCTACAACAGGGGAGTGTGCTGCTATGGCAAAGTAGCTGCTGGTCACATGTAGACACCCATAGATGTTATGTCACTGTAGTGTGTCACTACAGCAACATAGTGTCACACGTAGATGCGCCCATTGTGGCACAAAGGAAGCCAATGGATAGGGACTACATTTACCTGATCTCAGCCAAATTCACTCTAAATGAAATATAC